AAGCGCGCGCGCGCGCGCGCGCGCGCGTAGGGCGGCGAAGCCGTGCGCGCGCGCGCGTAGGGCGCGCCCCATGCTCCAGAAAGTGACACAGATGGAGAACTACCAGCACAAGCCATGGAGGGGGACCCCGTTGCAACAGAGCATGCGAGAACAGTGCCCTGGGGAGATAGCAAGACCGGTGGAAGCACGGACCAGCCCATGGACAACGACACCCCGCCAGATTGGGGGGGCGAGACGGAAGATGAGGAAACTATGAGCAGCTGGCCATGGGGAGAGATGGGACGCCCTTCTGACAGCGGGCTCAGCGAGGGGATCCTTGCAGAAAGACCCAGTCTGCCTGCTGGAGAGCCCTTACAACAGCGTGGTGGTGCCTGTGGTAAAGGCGGAGGGATTACACTCATCTCTAACCGCATGTGGCAAGACGTGAGGGCAGTGCAGGCTCATATGGAGCAAGCCAGACACCAAAGAAGAGCGACTCGATGACAACGGGGGGATTTTCCTCCCTTTCTTTCTGCCGGTAGCAGGGACGAAGTTCGCCTACGAACACCGACCCGCGTGGAAAAATTTGTTCGCTTCGGCTACTGAGGGGGGAGAGACAATCCGTGACTGCACATAGTGCCTTTAGTTGTGAATTCTTTAAACAAGCACACAACTGCTTTTCTCAGGCAAACCTCGAACCTTTGGCCCAACCTGGCCCTTTAATCCCTTCTTTTCAACACACCTGTACAATTCAGTCCTGTCCTTGAACGAATTCGGGGGATAAGCCAAGGCCCCAATTAGCATCATTCAACCTTTGGCAGCCCATGTATTGTGCATGTTTTTGCCCTGGCGCCCCTTTTCCGAGTACCTCACAACGTTGACTCTTAGGTGTAGGCTGTACTCTTCGTTTTGCTTGCAGTGGGGGACTTCAGACTTTTGAGGTGAAGGCCGTTCTACACCCTTGTTGGCCAGGCTGCTTGGGGACATCCTGTGGAACTAACTCTATTGATTTGGGGGATGTTTGTGATTCCCTGAAGCGGCCCGGACCTCAGAGTTCTGCTTCTAGTCGAGTGCTGCTTCCGCTTTCTGGTGGTAGGGGTGTCCCTGATCGAACGGCCAATGTATAGCCGAGCCCTGGGGGAGAAACCTCACCAGTGGAAAAAGTCACAAAACCCGTGGACTGCGGGAGGGGGGGGGGCCGAACGCACCGGGGGGTGCTTGGGCACCGGACAGAACCACCACTGACGCTTTCATCGGCGCCCACGGTTCTTTGGATCCTGCCACTCATGGTTTGGCTGGTGTGCGACAGCACTACGAAACCTTCTTGTGCAGAAACATCGTTGACATGCTAGGTGGTGGAGCCCCAACTCCAAGCGCTGCTGCACAGGCTCAGCTCGTAGCTGCGGGATGGACGGGCGTGGAACGAATGGTATCCTTCTGAGGCCCCACAAGCACGTCGTGACGACGTGCTGCCGTACGTTGGGCTGTATGCAGGAACCACTCCGATTTACACCCAGGCAGCAGTCGCAGAGGCGCCGCAGTGCCAGATCGAAGGGAGAACCGTGGCTTTGCGTGCCGCCGGAGCCGCAGCACCTGTTCTCGTCGGGGGAGAGATTGGTGCGTGGCCAGCGGGTCCGCCAGCCAATGCAGCCGCAGCTTTTGATCAAATGACCCGGGTCTTCTTTGGGGGCGTGGAGATCAGCCTGGTTGCAGTCTACGCTCTTGGTGCTCCACGTGCTTCTGCGCAATCAGCCGGGCTGAATGTTCTCTCGAGTGCAGCCGTGCCGATAGCACCCACCCATAGCTGGGCCGATCGGGATCTTTGTCGGGTCCGAGTTTGCCTCGGACACAAAAGTTGAGCCTCTGGGAATCCACAACCGTGACGGAGTTTCAGATCGCAGAGGCAGAGATGAGGCCCATCCCTCCAGCGAACGGGGCGGCTAATCCGGTGGACCCGTTCACGCTTGCGATGGACGCAATTCTTGGGCACGCAGCATACGGATCCTCGTGGGATAGCAATCAGGAGGTGTGGTACTTTCGTATGCCCGCGGGCGCCATGCCTTTTGTGCAACCGGCCAACTCAGGCAACACAGACCTCGCAAATGCAGGCCTGGGTGGAGGAACGATCACTCCCGCGGCCCGCGAAGTGATGATGGAGAGAGCGAACATGGATCTCCGGCATGCGTCAACCGAAGCTAAGTGGGGATCATACGCTGGGCGGCGGGGACGCGCATTTGTCGGGGATAGTCGAAAAGGTGGACCACCGAGGCGGCTGCATTCAGGTGGAATCCAGCGGCAAATGGTGACCTTGGTCAAGGGTCTCGCTCAAACACCACAGGAGACCGGCCAGTTTGCGCAACCATCCACAGGACTCGACGCCCGATCTGCGCCAGAAGCAGTGCCATGCTCACGACAGGCCGCCACCCTTCCAAGGGCTTCATAGTGTATGGTGTGGGGTTACTCTCATTTACACCCAACCCAGGGCGGTTCTTGGTTCTACGAGGAGGCTTCGATCAGCTACCGCAGATCAACGGCAACACCTTCTGCAACATTCGCGAAGGCCAGCCAAGCTTCTGCAGCTGGACGGCACGCTGGCCACTGTTTCGGGTGAGGGCTGGTGGTTAGCCATTGGACGCGCAGCTCTGCAAGTGCACTGCGGACTCTGGGCTACGCATTCTTCCGCTGCTTGGTTCACCACATTCTCGAACGTAGGAGGACGCAATGCGGCCCTGTCTTCTAAACTGGGAACCGTGCTCCCAACGGCCTCAGGCTTGGACAAGGCTTACATCAACGTCGTGTGACTCTTCTCCTTTGCCAAGGAGTACGCATCCAAGTTGTACCCAACCGACAAGCTGCTCAACAGCGAGCTCGTCGCCTTGTCAGGCGCTGCTCCACCAGCAGTTGTCCAATTGGTGGCGACATTGCGTCAGCGCCGCCGCACCAACATCTCACAAGAGGTTGCATCCATGATGGTCAACATGCTAGGCCGTGGAGCAAACCCCATCGTGGAAGTGGCGAATGCAATGGCTGCCGAGTACCGCAAACATTATGCCCGGGTGAACGGACCGCTGGTTCCTCCTATGACCGTTCACAATTGCCCTCTGGATGCTCAGGCCCAAGACGCTGCGGCCACATTTTGGTCTGGGGTACTTGCAGGCACTGCCTTTGCTGCAGTGGCACTAACAATCGCCGCGCCAGTGGCAGCTGTGACGGCTGGGGCTAGCCCTGAGGTGGATGGTTGGGTGGCAGGCCATTGGGCAACCGTGGTGCAGCTCTACGGGGCCGGCAACGAGCGTCATGGCGTCATCTCGCGCTTCACGTGACACCCGCCTAGTCTCAGGTTCAGGGTTGAGTGGAAGGTCGAGGCAGTGATTGATGGGTTCAGGGTTCAGTTCGGGATGCAGGCAGGGTCAGGCAGGTGAGGTGGGTGCGCAACTGCGCGGGCCACGAGGACTGCTCGTGGTCCTGCCCCGAAGCAAAGCAAAGCAAATTCTCAAGCGGTCTGAGAACGGGGCCTCATCTGTTTTAGCAGTCTTACAGCGGACAGAAGCGGACAGCGCGCGTGGACACGCAGGGGTAAGCGCTGTGCTTGCCCTTCGTCTGTGTGGAAGAAGTCTCAAGGGGGGCAACCTTTTTGCCCATAGCCCTGCCGAAAGAAAAGAGAGAGTCTCATTTTCGAGGGGGGATAGGCGTAATTGCTCAACCAACATACTCGCCTCCCTACGCCCGTGCATGTCGTGTAGCAGACTAGCCCAGTGGGGGATTTCACACATCATGTCGGTCAAGCAAAGTTAGCTCATGCAGTGTTGCCATGCATGTCATGTTTACATTGGCCGGGGGCATTACTGCAGTGCTTCTGTCGTGAGAGTGTGAAGCAGACAGCACTGCGTAACCGCTCTCATTTCACACCGACAAGGGGGGAAAGCTAGAAAGCCTGCTTGAGCCACACAGCCCTTTCCACCGCAGGGGAGGATATTGTACCTGAATGTTGCCCTGTCAGAAAGATCGGCTGTGGAAAAGGGGGCAAGTGCCACATTGGTACAGCCGAGCGATTCAGTGGAACAACCAGTGAGGGGAGTCAGACACCTGAGAACTGCAGGCGCGGGCTCGCGCGGAGGGTGGGGGCTGGATGCTCACTGACCTTCCCCACCTGGTAGAGAGAGAGAGAGAGAGAGATATGGGGAACCTCCCCCTCCCATAACCCTGACGAAAGAAAGAGCTATGATTCAATCGTGAGGCCGATATGCAAGCTCCCCGAGAAATACTTTTCTTATTTTTACTGTTGTATCTTCATTGTTGTGATATCTTATCTGCAGTGACATTCTAAATTAACAACTTTGATTCTCATGCAGGTCCATACATCGCGTCCCACTCAAATTTGATGTTCTCCTATATTCTATATGCCTTCATTGCGACTGGGGGGAACATGATGTGCCTGCAGCATGTGTCGATGAGAGCATCCAGCCATCTTTATAACGATATCGTACTCTTTACGGCTTTAGCCTTCCAGATGATTCTTGCTCGTTCGTCACACCCCCGTTCCTGCGAAATACTTGTGGGTGGGCTTGATTGACCGACCCCCATGCCCGGGAGAGAGAGAGAGAGAGAGCCAGTGAGCGAGCGAGAGAAGTCTCGGGGGTGGGCCATACGGGGCAAACTTCGTCTCCTATTGCAGCGGTCAGTGAAGACCCCAATGCCGGCCACTCCATAAGACAGCCGCTGGTCGGGCGGGCCTATGGCCTGAGGGTCACTCGAAGCTTAGGGACAAAGAAAAAGAGGGAGACCACAAACGCCCTGCAAGCAAGCAAGCAAGCAAGCGAGTAGCAAGGCAAAGAGAGAGGGAGTGGATTCTGGACCTCTTTCCAATGCGAAAGAACGAGAGAATCCACAAGCAGGCCGCAGGCCACAGGCAGGAACCAGCTGTGGAGCTAACAGGAGACCTACGCAAAGTGCAGGGCAGATATCCGAGCGCGGCAGCCGCCTCCGATGGACTTGAAACCGGAGACCTACGAGGCCGGGCGTTGACGGTCTTCCGTCTTTTTTCCGCGCGCAAAGAAGCACCTGCAGTAAGCTGGCGAGGAGCTGCCGTACTCGGCGCTGAGCACGTTCCTTTGCAGCAGCCTTCCATGCCCACGCACAGTCTTCAGAGGGCTATTTTTAGGATGAGTCTGGATGGCGACTGCTCGGTCATGCCTGCAAGGGATATCAGTCTAGTGACTCTAGTGAGTGTGCCGGTTAGAATGTATCTCTGGTTTGGTTTCGCAGTGAACTTTGCCGACGCCCAAGATTGGACAAGACCGTGAACGAGGTGTGGCGTCTTGTCTGCCATGTTGAGAGAGACACAGAAGCTCGTGTGCTCAGCCGCCCAGCCTCTCGAGCTGAGGCTATTTCATGGAACCAGTGAGGAAGCTGCGCGGGCCATTTGCTCCAGCCACTTCCGGCTGCCCGAACGCGCTTCTCATGGTTCTCTCTTCGGCAAGGGGGTGTACTTTGCAGATCGGGCCATCAAAAGCCACGAGTACACTGTCAAGAACAAGAGCGGTTGCCGAGTCATCATGTTGTGCCGGGTTGTTCTCGGGCAAATCCTGGAGCTTCCAAGAAAGGACCCGAAAGCGCACGAACGTGTGATTGGGACTGACTTCACTTCGGTGATGGGTTGCGCGGACGGCGCAAACAGGGAGTTCATTGTCTTTGACGTATCACAGGCCGGGAGTCCCCAAGAACTCACCTTGACGTGACTGAGAGGAGACATGACCTATGCATGTTTGGGAGCCACATGAGGTCTATCCTGAGTACGTGATGTTCTACTGCGCTGAAGGGGGCGAGCCTCCAGACTGTGCTATCCAATGAAAGAGTCATCGAATGATGTGACTCACAGCTTTCTTCATCCCGAGTTCGGGCAGCGGCAGGAGACGGAGGAGTTGGCCACAGAGCCGCCGAGGACAGCAAGTTCTCGATCGTCGGTTTCGGTGGGGCGATGCAAAGCTTTCCGTGCGGCAATGTGCGGGAGAAGAGCAGTCCTTGGACTTGCAGTGGGACCGTGTGAGGTGCTGATGTTGACACTCGCAAAGCGCGGCAGTTGAGCTGATTCTATGTGGAGCACGTTGCCGTGTGCATGAGCTGCCCCGCTATCTCGACTTGCCTGGATGCCATGCAAAGCCTGTCGAAAAGGGGCAGCCGCTTCACGAAGGTCTGACGGAATCTGATCTTCCTACCGCTGCCCACCAAGGCTTTGACAAGTGGCAGGTTCTTGGAGTTGATGCAGACTCGTCCGTGTGACCCTCAGGATTGTCATTGATCTTCCTGTGTCCACTACCAGTTGCAAAGAAGTCTTAAGCTTGTTGGCGTTTCAGCAAGCGGAGGCAGCAAAGAGTGAGGACGAAGTTCGTGCTTTGGCTGCGATTGGCTGGCTTCCAGTTATCATTTCTATTTGCTGCAGAACGTAGGACGCATCTCATCGCAGAAGATTTTGGCATCGCTGGGGAAGCCCTACACCGTGGCCGCCTCAGAGGAGTGCATCTGTGCATGTCTGTGCACAGTGGCTTCTCGAATCTGTGAGGTTTTGGGTTTGCAGCCTGGTGCCAGTAGCGCTGCCATCAGGCCAGGAGTGATTCCTTAGGCCAGTGGGGGATTGGAAGACGATGACCAGGCGTGCCTACCATATCCTGGCTCTACTGCACCACCCAGACAAAGGCTCATCCGGAGGTTCCCGGTGGCGGAACTGCGCCGAGAAGTCGTCTGCACAGGGGGTGACGACGCTGTTTTTAAAGCCATCGCAACTGCGTACAAGGCCTTGACGGAGGCAGCAGCCATGCGCATGCGCACCATGCTTCTGTCACTTTCACGACCAGTCTCGCCGGGCGTCGGGCTTGAGAGGCTAAGACCGAAGAAGGCGGCTGGAGGGATTTGGAAGGACCTTGCTAGACTTTCAGACTCAGCAGATGTCAGAACTGCCAGCTCTTCCTCAGGACAGGCTGTAGGGCCTTGGCAGGGACATGCTCCTTGCCTTGATCCACAGGCACAAGCTTCGCAAATGCCGGTTCTGGACATAATGACATCCAAGGCTCCAACAGCGACCAAGGCGGGCAGCCAACTCGCAGGAGCCTGCTTTGTCATGCTTTCCGAGTGCTCCGGTCTGTGAGGGAATCACCTGCATGCTGTTTGACACGTTTGGGTGAGGGCCCAAAGCTTCACTCACCTTTCGGTGCTGGCGCTCACAGAACCGGTCGAATAATTGCTGGGTCCTAGGACCCCACCGTGGGAAAGCCGAAGACTGTACACTGGGCCAGGTTCTCGTTCCGATTGTGGCTCGCCTCCCTCAGAAAGGGCGAAGTGTTTTTTCGAGCTTTGGTGCGGATCGAGGTCTTGGCAGGAAGGTGTAGCACAGCCCTCGGACTCCCCTGCTTGGAGATGTTCGAGCTTCAAGTGTGCAAAAGGTGCGCTGCTGGGAACTTTCAAAAGGAGAGCCCGGCAAGTGCGGGAACTCAGACACTCCTTCATACCTTTCTGACCCTGTCTGCTCTGTGTTCGGTCGATAGCTGTGGGCATCGCATGGCAAGGACTAAGCCACCTCCACGCCTTGTGGGCGAGATAGCAGCGCCCTTGGGAAGGACCCAACTTCGAAATCGACAAAACTACACTACGGCACGACTCTCAAGGCCGTGGGTGGCTTCATCAATGACGTCGCAGCGATCTCCCCATTTGGTTTGCTGACAGCAACGTCGCCACCGTTGGCCGTTGGCATTTGACCGAAGACACCGAGTGGCATTCGGGGCACTGGCAGAATCCAGCAGACTTGCATGTCGAATCATGTGCCAGGCGCAGTCAGCCGGGATGAAGCCGCTACCCGGTGAATCGCTAAGGAGCCGAGCTGTCTGCACTCAGAGACCCTATGTGGCAGCTCGAGTTCCGAAGGACCTGGAACCTCAAGACGACACCGTTCAGGCCAAGCGACCAGGACCTCACTGCATCTTTTCTGGAGATCAAGCCCTGTCAGGCCAGTCGTCAAGGGCTCAAAGTTCAAGAGCCTTCATGACTTGGAACTGAAACATATTCTGAAACGTTCTGAACCCAACCGAGGCCAGGGCCAAGACCAACGCCATCGTGCGGAGTTCAGCCACCCTTGTGTGCTGCGTTCGTGGCGTGTGGCAAGCTCCCCCCATCTCAGGCGGACGATCCTGATGCGAAGTCAAAGGCATGTGCGGCAAAATTTCGCATGAAGCGAGCTTCAACTTTTTGCGACAGATTCTTTGAGGCTATTACGACAAGCAGCAGCCTCAGGATGATGTGCACCTTCACCTGTCTGATTTGTTTGCGCTTGGATTGTGTCTTTAGTCCCAGAATATGCCGGAGCCAGCCAAAGCCATGACTCCTTGGTTTGGAGATGCTTGGAGCATTGTCTCGTCGAGAGGGTTGGGCACGGATTCGGGTAGCGGACACAAGCAGGTGATGCTGGGCGTGATGGCAATGGGTCCACAGCAATTGTCGCAAAGTCAGCCTCGCAAGTTGCTTGACTCACGCCTCCGTTCATCAAGATGGCATGTTCTTGTTTTGCATAGGAAAGGCGAGGAGGAGCTGGATTTCGTAAAGGACGAGGATGGTGGATACCTGGAGAAGTGGCAGCCTCGAAATGCAAAACGTGCGTGGCAGTTCGAGACACTCGCTCAGGCGTCGTACCTGGGCCCGAACCGCTTGCGCAAACGTGGCAGTTGAAGAACCCAGCACCCCCAAGGATGGGAAAGAGGCACACATGCAAAGCTATACAAGCCGCAACAGTCGCAGCAACAGGGAGTGGAAGTGACTCGGGCCCAATGGACCAGGTCAAGCACGGACGTAAGACTGTCTCACAGGTGGCCTGTCACTAAGGTTTCTCGCCTGTTTGGCGTTCATCTGAACATACTTAAACTAAAGGCAATAAAAAACAAGCAGCTTTGACCCTGCGCACGTGCTGACCCCTTGCCATGTGGTACAGCACTGCACCATACTGTACGTGAGCATGATACATGTGATGTTGGTCATGCGAGGTCCACCATGGTCTACCTCCACTATCGCGGACTCTGCCCCAGGTATAGCAAGAGACCAGAATTGATGCACGCACACTGCTGTGACTCCTGCGCAGTCCTGCTGGCGTGGCTTAGGTGTTCGATGCATCAGCTTGTGGCCAAAGCCAGAGAACCGCGAGGCAACACCGCACGTCGCAGCGACAGTGTCAAAGGAGCCTTGTTGAAGCTGCTGGCATGTGCAGGAGCGAAGCTACCTGAGCTAGACACATCTTTGCAGGATGTCTTGGCGGTATCCAAGATCGGCATGGACGGTGTGAGCCTCCAAGTGCCTGCCGTTTGGCAGCAACCCGATCCGCATGAAGGTGTCGGAGATGTGAACGCAAGGGTCTCAGCATGCAGTGTCTGCTGGAGGCACCTTGCAGTCCCCTGCTGACAGGCAATGCAGCATGAAACGGTCAACAAAATCTGGACTGGCGACAATGGCGGAAATCTTCGCTGCTGGGATGTTGCGTTCTCAGCCATGGAAGTTCCGTCACAGCTGCAGAAATTCTGTGCACTTCTTGCAGCCGCCGAAGTCGGAGGTGAATGCCAGCGGCAAGGGTGTCGTCTCCGACTTCAACAGCAGGGGACTGTTCGGAGTTTTTGTTCTGCTCTTCGCAGAGAATCAATCCCCTTGAGACGGACACGGACAAGGCCAAGCGGCTGGTTGGCTCTCGGGCTTGGCGATGTGGCCGGAATCCGGCGTCATGGTGAGCCCATGCTGCTTGCAAAAACGGACCCTGTTGGGCGATGTTGGGGGCGGTGCGGAACTCTGGTGGTAGGTGTGTTCACACTCAAGCGGCATTGGTTACATCGACATTCGAGCCGGCCGGTCGCTAAGACGATGCGCAAATCTCTCCACGAGTACACTGGAGTCCCACAACTGTTTGCTCCCACCGGCCGAAGGCAAAGTCATCCGGCAGCAGTACACCAAAGAGTCGGTGGGCAAGGTTGGTATTGAGATGAAGATGTGCCGGCTTTGCTTCCAGGTTCCTTCCCAATCTTCAGTCTTCGAAGAATGCTCAGCCCAAATTTTTGACGCTGTGTCATTCCGTGGATCCTTATCAGACGTTCACAGTTTGTTGTGCTAGTCCTCGTCTTGCTGAGTCCTGCCTGGTGGCTGCAGCAAGACATACTGGTCAGTTGCCAAACATCAGTGTTGGCTGCTCGGGTGTCTCGGTGTCTCTGTGCCTCTGTGCATGTGAGTTGGCTTCCGTGACCAGCGGTCATAGGCGTCTTTGACATGTGCGCATCTAACAAAGAGGCCCTCTTACACGAAAAAAAGATGCGTGCGAAATGTGAAGGCAGCCTGGTCCCTCGTCAAATAGGGTAGGCAACACAGGTTCGTTGTTGGATCCAAGCAGTGATGCAAAGGCAATCATGCAACAGCATGCCCGTTACGTAGGTACAAACTTTATTAATTCCGGTTTACCTGCAGTGGAAAGAGTGCGCATGCGAAAGCAGGTCACGGTGTTGAACTGGACAAGTCCCATGCTTTTTGCTGGCATTGGCGGCGAGCTAATGCAGTGACCCTGCCCTACAGTGCGATCCACACGCACTTGCAAGAAGAAGCAAGAAGGTACGACACCCGATGTTTTGCTGACGGGCAGGACTACAAGCCCAAGGCGGGTGTTGGTCGACGTCCTTTGGAGACCATCCTTTTCTCGAACAGGCCGTGGCGTCTTGGACGCTGGGCTCCCCCATCACCTCGCTGCACTGCACAGAGACCGGAAAGGGGTCGGGGCCCCATGTGTGTTGAGAAAGCACCAGGGGTAACGAACCTGACCGCGCGGAAGTTCAAATCTGAGGCACCTGTTGGTCGCGGCGGGCTGCATGAACGGAAAGGTCGCTGCCTTCGATTCCAGTTAATGTGCACGAGACATACCGACGGACTTGTCTCCCCTTTCTCCTGCAGCTGCTTTCGATTGTTTCTCAATTGCCGGATCAATTTTGGTGCATTGGTGCAACGCAGCTGCCTAGTTTGCAGACGATGTCAGAAGTGCGCAGAGACACGTGGCAAAAAAGCAACGACGAGGGGTTGCGAATTGCCAGGCACTTCCGGCGCAGGTTGAGAGCCACACTGCCCAAGCAAACGCGAGTTCTGACTTCTGGCATGCTGGCCCCGAAGCTGACATGACTGCCTCGGATGTTTGGAATCCCTAAGGCCCTCAGGGTCCCAGTGATGGATCAAGTTGCAATGGACAAAGCTGCAAGGCATGCAAGGGCAGACGTCGTGCGTATCCAGGGGCTGGTCATGATCCATGAAAGATGTAAAGTGCCACGAAGTTCAGATCACTTAGGACTTAGGCCTTAGATCACTGCTGTTGCTCCGCCTGCTCCGCCATGTCAAGCATCCGGCCGCTCTTGGTGACAGAGTCGGATGCCGATATCCAGAACCACCCGAAGCATGAAACGGCTGAACTTCCGGAGCTTGAAGCTGTGAAAGCTTCTCCGACTGGGGAATCGGACTTCAGCGCAGTTAACAGGATCAGGACTGTAACTTCAGACACTTCGGCGGCATCGGGTGCGGCGGGTGTCAAGAAGAAGTCCATGCGGAGGCTTTGGAGTCTGGCCGCTCGGCAGTACTCGTATCATCGGCTGGTTCTTGCAGCCACCTGCTGCCCTTTGCTGAGCACAGGTGCAGGAGCGAGTGTCCACTTTTCAGATGCAGCAAAACACCGGCGATGGCCTCATCCTGGCTTTGGCTGCTCAGCTACAGACTTGCAAGCTGAGAGGGCTTCGATGTGCTACGTGGGGTCAGGAGGTCCCAGCACCGGTCTGAAACAAAGCACAAGGCAAGTACTCGTAGCGTCATTTCGAGGGCCTGACAGGCATTAACATCAGCGAGCATGGCAACACGCTCAGTGTGATGGCATCGCCTCCTTGCATTAGCCGTCATTAGCCGGTGTCAGACTGTCCGAGAGAAAGCATGAACCACAGAACATCGGGTGAACACAATGCTCAGTCGCGCAGCCTTCCTGTACGCCGAAGTCTTGTTGCGCTGCAGGGGTCAGTAGCGACAAGCGGGGTTGAAGACGAGGACACTGCGACACCAGACCAACGAACTGCTCGCATGCTGGAAGCTGGCACGTATCGAGCGTTTTTCTACCGAGGTGCGTACCCGAGATCAAATCTTTTCAGATACCCTCTACACGGAGGCCGGTCTCAAAGCACGTGCCAAGATTGTGGTCAGTGCAACTGCCCGCGTTGACAGCTAGAGCTCTCGACGTGTGCTGTGTGTGCAGGACACGACGCATGAAGCAGCGTGACCAAATATTAAGCTGTGCATGTTGAAAATATGTTCGTCTGTTGAAGACAATCTCAGTTTGTAGAAGAAGGCCGAGTGCAGTGAGCAAGGTTCTACAACTGGTCTTGGTGTTGTGGCCGCTTGGCGCAGCTGGCATCACGGGAGAGTTCGGGTCCGTTCGAGCTGAGCCTGTGAGAGCTGCCCCAGGCTTCACGCAGCTTCACTGACTTTACAGTTTGGCTTGCTCCTCGACCCGACTTTCTGCAGACCCGCGCCGGTCAGTGCTGAATCGGATGCAAAGCTCTCCGAGGACATATCATCTGTACTTCACCACGGTGGATGGGTTGGCAGCTCCGTTCAGCAGTGGCATCACTGACAAGATGGAGGCGGAGCATCGCAGGGCATCGCAGGGCCGCAGGGATCCGAAGGGCATCGCGGCTGTGAGATGCATGTGTTGTCCTTGGTCACCTAGTCCTTTGAGACCGTCCCCAACAGATTCGACGTTCTCGTGTTCAGTTGTGCTCTATAGAGTTTGCCGTGCTGTAGCTTCCAGTTCCTTTTTCCCAACTCTGTTGCGGGTTCTCTCGCGAGGCGATACGACATGCACTTGATCACGATCCGCCTGTTCCACTCTCGAAGGCATCGCGCGCATCAGTGATGTGATTCGGACACGGACGGGTAGCCGTAGTGTCCTGATGCAGGACGACCTGGTGCAGAAAGATGCGCTGGACCTGTGCTTAAAGCAGCACGCCCTTGGACTTACACATCTCATGGTGCCCAGCTCAATTTTTGTGTGCCGTCCCAGCACAACACTTCGGAGAAGGAGCGTGAGGCCTCTTTCGCAGCAGACTTGACAGGTGCTGTCGCTCTGGGGCGCGCGGATGGTGGCCGAGGCTTGCGATAGTATTTGACTTCGAGAGTGTTGCTTCAGCTTCTGGCACGGAGCTCTTGGAAGCTACGAGGTCTCTGAGCTGCTGAACAGCGGCACCATTTTGAGCTTGATCGCAGATCCAGACCCGACGCAAAATGGCTTTCTCGAGGAGATTTCTCGAGCGTCTTGGGGATTTGGAGATTGACGGGCTGGACTGGGGTGCATGACAGTCGGAAAGGTGCAGCTTGATTCCGTTCAATTAAGCTAGCAGCTACTACAACATCTGAAAGCTATGTTTTGTCAAGTCACATCACATGTCTGTGATTTGAGTCTCGGAGCGCGGCGATCTCCCTCTACCCTTCTCTCTCTCTCTCTCTTTATCCATCTCTCTCTCACTCTCTCTATCGCTCTCGTTTGGCCAAGGTTTGCGCTTGAGGGTTTGCTATTTTGGGGTTGAGGGGTTCCTTTCAGGGTGTAGGGTTTGCCAGCCAATACTGCTTGTTAGCGTTTGGGTTTGTCCACCAACATCTCCTTTTAAGGTTTAGGGTTTCCTTTCCTTTTGGGGTGTAGGGCCTTTGCCAACGAACATCCGTGCTAGGGGTTGGCAAGGTTTGAGGCTTGCCGACCGACATGTGTTTTTCGGGTTAGGGGCTTGTCCTGTTGAGGGTTTGAAAACCAGCACCTTGTTTTCGGGCTTGTAACCAGCGTTTCGTTTTGGGCTGTGGGGATTTGCCGAAAAACGTTTCCGTTTAGGGTGTGCACTTTTCCAGCCTCAAATGGCAACCAACATCTTGTGTTGTTATCGCTTGGGGTTTGCCAACTACTGGTAACGCCTTTTTTTGGGTTTGCCAACCAACATCTCCTTTTCGCGTGCTGAGTTTGCCCAACCAAAATCCCCTTGTATGGTTTTGGTTTGCTTCTGTGGTGTACGGTTTGCGAACCACCATCCCTTTCCAGGGCAGCATCTTCGGGTTTGCCAACTCACATCTCCTGTTAATTTTAGTGGTTGGGGTTTCCTTGTAGGGTTTTCGGTTTGCCGAATTCAACATCCTTGTGGGTTTAGGGGTTGTCAGTCAAAATGGCTGGGTTCGGAGCTATGAACCAGCATCTCCTTTGACGGTTCAGGGTTAGCCAGCCAACATCTACTTTTAGGGTTTAAGGTTCGGCAACAAACATGTCATGTTGTGTTCATGACAACAGTTTAAGGCTTGGCGCTTTTCGGGTGTCGGCTTTCGGCATTACGATTAAGCTTTCGGCTTTGCTTTGCGCCCGCTACACAGACTGCTTTTTTCATACATTCTACACCGCCAGTGCCAGCGCCAGCGCCAGCGCCAGCGCCAGCGCCAGCGCCATCACCAGCACCATCAATATCCCAGACCCAGCCCCACCCCGGCAGCCCACACCAGCAGCAGCAACCGCAACAGCAAAAGCAACGGCAACAGCAACGCAACGCCACGGGCGATTACCGTTTTGGCACTCACTATTGTTTATTCTGAATGGCAATTGTCCGAAGCACCCAGAAAACCCGCAAGACCCAACACAACCGAAAGAAACCAGGGCTAACAACCAGGCCGAAGACCGGAGCCATTCTGAATTGAGCCTGAGCGTAAATTCTGTTGGGGGGCCTGCTTTAAGTCGGGTTTCGGGTTTAGGGAGAGTTTCGGGCTTCAGGGCCAGGGTTTTAGGGTTTGGAGGGGGGTTTTAGGCTTTAGGGTCCAGAGCTTTAGGGTTCGGGTGGGTCTAGGGTGCAGGGCGTAGGGTTAAAAAGGGGGATTTAGGGTTTAGGCTCAAGGGCGGTTTCTGGTTTAGGGAGAGTTTCGGGCTTCAGGGCCAGGGTTTTTGGGTTTGGAGGGGGGGATTTAGGTCGTGCCGGCTTTAAGATTGACCATTACACAACCAAAAAAATTGCCAGGCCCAAAAAAAAAACGCATTAATTAGGACACCCAAAAATTTGGTCCCGGCTTGAATAAGCAAAACACGCATTGAAGAGCCACGCTGGTCTAGTTGGGCCTCCACAGTAAGCTTCAGTGCCATCCGCTGTTTTCGCCACCACATCAAGCTGAAGTGACTCTCTCCACCGTGCGGAAGGTGGAAACCGCACCGGTTGCCCCGTAGACATTGATTGCCGTGGGCAGTAACTGAGCCCAGGAATTGGGACCTGACAGATCAGACCAGTTCAGCATACCAGGAGGCACATGGCTCGAAATTTGAGACCAACCCGTAAAGTTAGGAAAGGGCCCGGTTGGGGCCTCTAGAAAAGAAGTTGGAACCCAGGGCCTGTTCGAAAGCCCCCGTGAGCTGCGCGGCCGTCTGACCCGCAGCGGCTCCAGCGACAACAACAACAGCAACAGCAACATCAGCAACAACAGCAACACCAACCCGCCAGCACACCAGCAACAGCAGGCAGCAACCGTGACAACACCAACAATACCAACATTACCAACACCACCAACACCACCAACATCCCCAACAACAGCAACCACAGCAACCACAGCAACAGCGGCAGCAACAGCAGCAACAGTAACAACACCGACAAGACCACCAATAACCCCGCCGCCATCACCCCCAACAAGAATAATACCAACAACAGCAACAACAACAACGACAACGACATCAACACTTGCTGCTGCTGATGCTGCTGCTGCTCTTACTGCTGCTACTACCACGACCACGACCACGTCCACGATCACGACCACGACTGCTACCATTACGTACCACCTACTAGCGACCACCGACTACCGATTGCTGGCCACTACCTGCTACCTACTGCTTCCACTACGACAACAACAACAACAACTACTACTTCCACTACGGCAACAACTACTACTACCATTATCGCTACCGCTACCGCTGCCGCTACCGCTACCACTACCGCTACCACTACCACTACCACTACCACTACCACTACCACTACCACTACCACTACCACCACCACCACCACGACGACGACTACTACTACTACTACAACTACTACAACAACAACAACTACTACTACCATTATTATTATTACTCCTTACTACTATCACTACTACTACTACTACTACTACTACTACTACTACCACTACCACTATCACTACCACTACTACTACTACTACTACCACCACCACCACCACTACTACTTTTACTACTACTACTACTACTACCACCACTACTACTACTACTACTACCACCACCATTATTATTATTACTCCTTACTGCTACTACTACTACTACTGCTGCTGCTGCTGCTGCTGCTGCTGCTACTCCTACTACTATCACGTCGTTTGGAATCGCAGAGCTTCGTTCAGCCGGCATTGCGCAAGATTAAGTTGGTCCAGGCTTGTGCATCAAGGGTACAACACGAAGAACACCCTTCTTCTGAAGGAGAGAGACGATGGAAAGATGCTCGTTTCCCACATGAGGCACACAGATGGGGTCACGAGAGTTGTAGGTGTTGCCTGGCAATGAGTTCAACAATCGCATACCCTGAGTCTGATGATGAAAGTGGCGTGCATCATATTGGTGATCATCCCAAGATTCTTGGCTGAACTGTTGAAGATATTTGCGGGCCCTTGTCGTGTCAGCATGCGGCTGATGTCATACAGCGATTCACAATGCTATCTTTCGGACTGAGAACTGGTTTGCACCAGTTTCCTGATGTGGACAGGCAGGAGCATTGGGGTGCACGGAATTACTCAATTGTACCGAGACGTAAACTGGAGATTGCTTAGTGCTTGAGGGACTCAGGTTCCTCTACGCCAGGAAACATCCTCCTGCCAGGTGGAAAGATGTTCATGCTGACCCACACCATGGGATCCCTCATCATCCCGTTGCTGACACTGACCTACATCTTGCAAATTCCCGCCATACTGTTTACTGGTTTCTCTTCCTTCAAGTTCAAGGATACTTGGCAAATCTTGGCCCGCATGCCAGAAGTGCTCGCATCGCCGGGTCTTAGCTCGAGGAGAAGGTTCAGCTGACGCTGTACCAGTACAAGATAGCGCTTTGCTATAATTCCGCGAACTGTGCCTTGGGTATTATAGCGATGGAGTTCGGCAATCGGAGCTCCCCATTGAGCCAAAAGTAGAGCCGAGGTCAGATGTGGGGGCTCACGGTGATCAAAGCAGCAGCAACATTTTGCTATGTCTACTTCATCTACGTGCTGGCTTTCGGCTTCTTGGTGTTTATGTCTTATTACACCAGCAATGCTTCGCGCCCCCGATACGGTCTGAGACTGGATCCAAGGTGATGTCACAGAGCTCCTTGGCCTGCACTTGTCCAACGTCAATGCGAGAAGCTCAGAATTTGTCGCTCAGGTACCGCAATCTCTGCACCAGGCCTCAGCTCGCACAAAAATCGCACGCGTACTTTGGTGTCTTTCCACGGTACCTGGCTGCAGGTATTTGACTCTCTTCCCAACGGGCCGGTGTAGTTTTCGATGTCAATTGGGCATAACGAGCCCGGAGCACATTCATACTCGGGCAGACTAGTTTCCAAGTTAGTTTTGTGCATTGAGGTTTTCGAAATGTGTTCAGAGAGGTCTCCAAGAGATTCTGTGGACGTTGCATGTCACGTCTTTTTTCTGAACAGTTTGCCAGAAAGACTTGGCCTTTTGTTCAATTGTTTAGCGATCGGAGCAGCGTTTAGCTTTGCACGCAGACCCCTTGCAGTGATAAAGTCTCGAGCAAGGGGCTTTGTGAGTGGATTGAAGGGTGCTTCAAGCATGAGCTTGCAACCCGAATAAACGACACGGCACAAGCTTCGTTTATGTGGTCTTGGGGGTGTCCCCTGGCAATGAATGCCCGGCTGCCCCATCAGTACCAGGCATACCAGGAGTACGCACACGCGGAAAAAAGAGCTGTTCCCGAGTTTCGACCAAGTGTTCATCAGCAGAGCCCGCTCGACTTTGCTTCTCTGGCGCTTGACGTCTCCGCCGTTGGCTCCGGATTCTCCGGATTCAGATGTTGTGTAGGGCCGTCGTGCATGCCAAACTCGGACAATACATGCTCAGTCCCAGCCCTGTGGGTGAACCCGGCTAGTACGGTTTATTGACCAGCTTGTGTCTACATCCCAGGTCGTCATATCCAGGAAGGTAGCCGTAGCCAAGCGATAACGCATCGCTAACATAAACAGCCGATGCGGAGACCCCGTGAATGAGCTTTTCCTTGTAAGCCCTGTCCTTGCAGCAGCAGAGAGGACAAGCTGTCACAAGAAGCTTGTTGTTTGTTTGTTTGTAGCCTGGCCGCTGCAGAAAGTGTGCTGCCTGCAATGACACAGTTTTGAGACGCACGGCCTAGTCGCCTGCACTAGCTGCAGCATCATGTGCAGCTAAGGAGTTGCTGCCGGTGGCAGCGACCTGCAGCTCACCCTATATATGGAGGCCAGTGGCTGGTCTGTTGTTAGACTAC